CCCTTCCCCTCCCTTCCCCCACCCCCTCCCCATATTCTTGGGGTTGAATTAGGTTGTAGCTTTCATTTGAGAGCTATAAATTAATTTCATAATAAGGCTCTGTACATTGGATACTTTTTCTTCCCTTCTTGTGATGCTTTGCTAAGAAGAACATTTTCCAGTTCCATCCATGTAAACATGAAGAAGGTAAAGTCTCCATCTTTCTTAAGGGCTGCATAGTATTTCATAATGTACATATACCACAGTTTATTGATCCAAGAAATACATTTTATATTAAAATACAGGCTCTACATATTTTCATAACATTTCATAAACTAGGACAGAGAGCTTGTCTCTTTCTCCTTTCCTATTTCCTACGTTACTTTAGGACGTACAAAAACATTTCCCTCTTGCCAATTAATGAATGCTAGGAGCAACAAAGAAATCCTATGTAAATATATAAAACAGTACAACATAGGGAAATAATGTTATCAATAAATAACAATATAAGATGTGTATAAGTAACATCACAAAGCAATAAATGATTATTGCTGTTTCTTCATTCCTGAATGTCCTGGGCCATTTACCTCTCCAAAGCATAATGTGAAGTCTACCTAATATCTATTCATTTTTGAAAACCTCTATCAGCACCTTCTCCCCATTACCACTCCTAAAATAAATTAGCCATTCCTCTTCCTCTAAGCCTCTACTGTTCTCTGTACAGACTTTGATCACAGCATTTATAATACTTCAATTGCCATTATTCATGCCTCCCTCTCCTCAACTATACTATAAATGTCTTGCGTAAAAATCATGTTCTTTTGACAGGCATTTTAAATATTCAAAGAAAGAAGGGGAAAGAAAGGGAAAGGGAAGGAAAGGAAAGAGGAAAAAGGGAAAAGGAAAGGAAAGTACTCAGGCTCAGTTCAAGAAAAAGAGAAACTGTGGACTATCATGAATTAGAAGAGCTAGAAAAGAAGGGCCAATATAGTAGCAAGAGGAAAAAAAAATCACAAGGCATGTATGGAGTCAGCAGAATACGAAGTATGATCATTCAGAAAATTATTTACACTGAAAAATTCACAAAGGACTAGAAACTACAGTTTCTATTTTTATGGTAGACGCCTTGAGAAAAGGACTACTGCTTTATCACTGTGTTATCATTTCAACAAGTAGTCAAAATTTAAAAATTAGGTAATTTACATTTTTAATTAAGTTTTCAAAATCCAATGTGCACTTAGAGTCTAAGTCTTAGACTAAATCTTAATTTGGACTAGCCACATTTCAAGTGCTTGATAGCCACGTGTGCCTAGGCAGTACTGTTCAGGATAGCCACATAACTGGAAGTGATACACTTCTCTCTTATTTTTA